GCTGAAAGTAAAACTGGAATAAAATGTCAAATCAATCTGAAAAATATTAAAGTATAATTAAAATAATAAATACTATGAAATGTAATATAATACATAATATACTGTACATTCATACACACAGACACATATGTAATTCTATATGTTAATTTGTTATATTAATTGTTATATTATATAATTTTATATTTTAATTAGTAAGGCTGTCAAAATGAACACGTTAATAACGCATTAACGCAAATTCATTTTAACGTCTCTAATTTTATTAACGCGCGATTAACCTGTAGTTGGAGAAATTGAGATGCATGATGTTGCGAACTTAGCAGCTTTTTTCGCTAGATTTAGTGACATTTCAGACATTTTCAGATTTAGCGACTTTTTTTTTTTTTTTTTTTTTTTTTTTAGAAAAGCGCCTAGCGACAAATCTTTAGGGTTTGCCCAAACCTTATTTAGTTTCTGAGACTCGCCGGTATGCTCTGTTCAGCGAGCTGCAGAGGAGCAGCGCTTTCAGTTAAAACACATATTATTTGCTTCTCTAATTTTACATGCAAGTATAGTCAAAATCACAGCACAGCTGTTGTCTTATGCGTAGCCTGTTTGATTTCATCAGACGACGTCTCGATTATAAATCAGGATTTTTGTGCAGATTAACATCATGGAAGGGAGAGCTGGTTATGTAGTCTTAATGGGTCGCATTTCAGTCACTATTTCAAATTCATTCCGTTGTCCGACAAAAGAAACCGTAAAATATATCAATGAAAACAGTTTTATTGATGATTTAGCTGCATCAAAATACAGTATGTGGGCACAGAGAGGCAATCAAATGTAATAATAAATAATAAATGTACATTTTGCATGTTCAGAAGAAGTGAGCTGCCCTGTCGTGCGAATAGAGTAAACAGGCTTGTGCAAGTAAACTGCTCAATGCAAAGAAAGAGACGTAATGGGAACCTGCTATTTCTATGTTCTTTTCTCATGCATGCAGACATGAACAAGTTCTTTGAAAAACATCTATGACCTTTGAAACATGTCTAGTCTTCATGCTCTATGTTGACTATGGTTTCACTAATAATAAACATACATTTGCATAAAGCATCCATATTTGTCCATGCCCATGTTGATTAGATTATTAAAAACTTGAAACATGTTAATTTAGAACAGATAAAATGTGCGATTAAGTTGCGATTAATCACGAGTTAACTCACGACAATCATGTGATTAATCGCGATTAAATATTTTAATCGATTGACAGCCCTAATAATTAAATTATATGAATTATTATAAATTATATAACTGATGTCAAATTAAATGTAAAAAATATTCTGAAATATTAAAATAAAAACACATTTGAAAATGCTAAACTATAAATACTGATCTAAAGCTGAACTAAAATGTAAAGTTAATTTAAATAAAATGGACATAAGGAGTATTATTAAATGTAATGTAATACATAATATATGTATTAAAGGGATAGTTCACCCAAAAATGATAATTATATATATAATAATATATATAAAATATATATATATGTATAACCAATCTAATATATATAAATATGATATAAAATAAAAAATAAAAAACGTTTTTTTCTAAGCTATAATAATCAATATAGACTTTCACATTTTCTAAACTAATAAAAAAAAAAATGGCTAAAAGTAAACATAGTAAAAAGTGAGCACTGCACTCTCATTGGTAGCTAAAACATGATCAAATTAAAATAAATATTTAACAAATCATGGGGCCGAACCATTGGTGAAGTAGTAACTAGTGTATCTGAGGTCCTTCTTTCTGTGTGTTTGCTGCAGGTCAGTGGTCAGCTCAGAGCGTCAGCAACGAACAACGAAACAAGATCCTCAACAGCAAACTCTTCATGCTGGACATGCTCTACTCGCAGAACAAAAAACCCTCGGAGGAAGACGAGGACGAAGACGAGCTGGCCGAGGACAAAGATGCAAAAGAAAAGGCTGAGGATTCGTCTCAGGACGCGCCGCCACGGGAAGAGAACGCCGCTAAGAGTGAAGGAGACAAGAAAGTGGAGAACCAGAGCAACGTGCGGGCGTTCGCAGAGCGCTTCGGTGACATAGTGAAGGGTCTCACCTCTCCACCAATAGAAACGCAGGAACCTCCTCCTCCACTACCGCCTCCGAAGAAGGAGTCGGAATCCATCTGGGACCAGCTGATGGCGAATCCGCGGGATCTGCGCATCGGCGACATCGACTTCACCGATCTGGGAGACGAGGATGACGAGGACGCGCTGGACTCTGGGAGTTTATATAACTCCGGCGATCTGCTGGCTCCGCCCCCTCCACCACCGTCCTGCCCCTTTAACCTCCCGGCCCTGCCCCCTTTGTTCGGCTGCCCTCCGCCCCCTCCCATGTTCAGCATCCGCGTGCCTCCGCCCCCTCCCTGCTTTTCCATCCAGGCTCCGCCCCCTCCTCAGCAGCAGGCGGAGCAACCTCCACTCTTCCAGAAGAGGAAGAAGACCATCCGCTTGTTCTGGAGTGAA